CCTTTACCTAGCCCCCCTAACATTCCAACTGAGAATCTTCATCACCACTTTCTAAAAAAACCCTTACCTGTCCTCTTTTCAATTGGTCCCTCTTCTTCTGCCCTTTCTCTCACTGAATTCCTTATCTTCTTCTACATCTCGCCTTAGCCTTTCTAACTCACTCAACTTTCTCATCCTTGGTTTTCTCTCTACCTTTCCTTTCCTCAAAAATACCTTCAACTCATTTGGATCCTTTATTTTACAGCCCATTTGCTCAACAAACTATGCAACCGAGACCTCCTTATCAGTTTCATTTGGTCCTCCTCTCTCCTCTTCCTCATTACTCACCTCTTTCTCTACCTCCCCTATCTACACGTTTTCAACTGCTCTCTCATCCTCTAGAATCCTACCCCAACTTCTTCTCTCAGCTTCTTTCCTTTTCATTTCTTCTAGAAAAGTTTCTATCGGCTTCCAAATTTTCTCTCCTACCTCCTCTTCTTCTTGTGAAGCAATTTTCCCTCCATTATTCACCCCTACAATAGGATGCAGATGTAGCAATATGGCTGGCTGGGAGTCTGGGACAGAAACAAAGACAAGGAGTTAGTACCAAAATGGAAAGTCATAGCCATACCTTGGGTGGAAACCAGGACAAGATCAATGGAAGAGTGAAGGGTTTCCCTCTCAGCTAAGAGACCAGTACTCTGGGTTAACCAAATTCCATAATGGGAACTACAGGTTGGAAAGCTCTTCCTGCCAAAGAATTCTCTTTCAGCGAACTCCTAAGGCTCTGTAGCTATCTCTGAATTGGTCCTCAAAGACTGGCTGGKAGTGAACATCTCCTACCAGCTCACCAAAATCTTGCTCTTTGTCCAAGACTTGGTTAGGTTGTTCCCCATTTGATTCCATAATAACACCCCTACTGACCAAATCGCTCTCAGCAGTTTTTAACTTCTCCAATTCCTTAGACAGCATCAAATCAGGGGTTGTACCTGGCCTTCTTTGTTCTTTATCAAGCACAAACGTGGTATCTGCCACTTTGTTTTCAAGGTCTGCTTCTGTATTTAGAATGATTCCCTCACTTGAAAGAGGTGAAACAAGCCCATCTCCTGAAGTCACTGTCAACTTCCCGCAGTCCCCTTTGACATCGCCACCTCCTACCGAGTCCTCTTCTAAGAACAGAAGTTCTGTATTGAAGCTTTCCTCTTTCCACATGTTCACTTTTACTTGCAGATCTAAGAACATGGTACTTTTGATTAGTGTTAGTTTACCTCCCTTAGGGAAGTACCTTGCCTTCCCAGATGAATTCTTGTGAAACCTCTCAATAACTGGTTCACAAATGAAGCAGGAGGAAGTACAATTGGCTCTGAAAGGCAGCCCTAAATAAGAGATTGGTAGGTGGTTCACCTTACAGCCCTAGCCAATTTGTCAAAATTAGGAGCTCGGTTAACAGAAAACTAGGGAGCTTTTTCCAGATTTATTCTAAGACCCAATACAATCTCTAGCCATCTTAGAACCCACAGAAGGTTTTGCAACTACGGAATAGAAGCATTAAGAAAAAATAAGGTGATGTCAAAAAATTCTAGAAGGCAAGTATTTTGGTCATTCCTACACATTTCAAAACCTGAAATAAACCCACCCACCATAGCTTTCTTAGAAAGTGCATCCAGAGCCTCAGTTACACAAATGAACAAAAGAGGAGAGAAGGGGTCTCCCTGCCTCAGACCCCTATAATTCCTGAAGTAACCAGTTGGGGCACCATTCATAAGAATAACGAATGTAGGGGTGGTAAAGCAAAGTACAAACATTGATCCTTCTCCTCCACTTACTACCAAAATTCTGATGAATTTTGTGATTCTAAGAATCACTCTTAAGCTTGGATTTATAAAGGTAGTTGGACTAAATTTTTTTTATGTCCAAAACTCATTCTAAGAAATCATTCTTTGAAGCTAAAAAATTTAGGTCGTATTTTTTTTTACAAGTAAAGAGTCATATTCCATTAATTCAAAGATCGGTTACATGAAAATCCCATCAAAGAGGCGCGAGGTGCTGCTTCTCCATATAGAAAAAAACAAAAACTACATCAAAAAGTGCATGACTGTTAGTCACAAATTACACTTGCACCCATAACAATGTTTCCCTGTTTGTCCCTTGTTTTGCCAAGACATCAGCAAATGCATTAGCTGATTTCCTAACCCACTGTGTTGTTACAGACATATTCCTTGTTAGCCATTTGAATTTTTTTATCTCATTCTTGCAGTCCCACGTGACATTCTCCGAATTATTTAACCAGTTCACCACTGTCTTAGAGTCCCCTTCAACCAGAAGCTGCTCCACACCCATTTCTTTTGCAAGAATTATTCCTTATATTGCAGCCAACAGCTCTGCCCTAATAGAGTTACCAATACCTAAAGGGCCAGAGTATAGTAAGACAGCATCTCCAGCCTCATTCCTCAGTGCACCTCCCAAACCAGAGGGACCCAGGTTGCCCTGGCTACTTCCATCAAAATTCAGCTTCAAAGAACTGTGAGGAGGGGACACCCAGCTTGTCATTACCTTTATCTTTGAGGAGGAACAACTTGTTACTGATAACCAATCCCTCCAACAGTCAGTAAAGGAGAAATGATCAAACAAATCCAGAGTCTTTAACCAATGCATTGCCCTATACAAAATGAAATCCTTCATGGCCTGACTACCCCCCTTTTCCTGGAAGATCCTGGCATTCCTTTCTTCCCAAACTGTCCATAACAAGGCTGCTCATGCACACCTCCACATTTTCCTTCCTCTTTTATGGGGCCTATAGAACATAGAAGGGTTAAAGATTGTACTTACTTCTGTTAGCATATCCCATCTGCACCCAAACAAAGATAGAAGCCTAACCTAGAGCTCTGTAGTGACACTACAAGATAAAAATAAGTGATAAAAACATTTAGGTCATGTTTGGCATCAATTTTGTGTGTTTCTAATTTTCAGAATTATTCTTTTAGGAATCATTTCTCTGAAGTTCCAATTTTCAAAAAAAAGAATATGAAGTATTTGGTAAAATGACGCAAAAAACTATATTTCTCATTCACATAATGAGAATGATGTTTGATTTGATCATGTAAATTCTTTAGATCATTTCTATGTGAAACAAACCATTCAGAACAAGATCTTGCTGGTCTACTATCGAATGTCAAGGCACCATTAGAGCACTCATTCAGCTAAAAATATTTTTGATGCAGGACATCCAAATTGAGACCTAGTAAATTCATGTTTTAGGATCACAACCAATCACTTTGATGCACTAATCATCCCTGTGTACTACTGAAGTTGCAGTTGAGTGAGTGTACCAAGAACTAGCTGTAATAAAAATTGTTATATATAGAAAAT